TCTCTCTCTCTCTCTCTCTCTCTCTCTCTCTCTCTCTCTCTCTCTCTCTCTCTCTCTCTCTCTACCTTTCTTCTTAAGAGTGAGGATGCTGGCTGATGTGAGATGCTCTAGACCCGGCGGGAAGAACTGGGCAGGCCCTGGCACCCATGACCACCATCCTGTTTCAACCATGCATAATTACCATCATTAATGCATAATTACCTTCACCTTAAAACAATCATTATAAACTTTACGATCATTTTTAATATTCTAACTAGTTTTGCTGTCATTATTATTATTATTATTATTATCATTATTATTATTATTATTAAGTTCATGGAAGAGCGTTAAACAAGTAAGGCTTCTGCAGTGCCCGGTGAATTAGAGGCAATCGGTTTGATTCGAGGAAGGGGAGCGTGTTGTTGTTATTCCCAGGATGAGGCTAACCCGGAGAGAAGGCGCTGCTGTGGGTAACAGTACTTAGAGACTCCGCCTGACCTACTGCTGTGCCTAGTACGCCAGGAGTAGTAGCAGTAGGAGAAGCAGCAGCAGCAGGAGCAGCAGAAGCAGCAGGAGCAGCAGCAGGAGCAGCAGTAGGAGGGTTGGGCGTGGCACTGGCGGGGGTCAGAGTGCCGCTGCTCCCTGAGAAGAGAACTCTGTAATAATATTTTTTTTGTTTTGGTGGTTGAAAAAGGTTTTACGAGATGATTTTGGTGAGTCTTGTGAGATGATGTATGTGGCTCGGTTCGACTCCGTGGGTCGGTTTCGTGGGTCAGTTTCGTCTATGTAACTCTGTAATACAGTAAATCTCGTCTCTGAGGTTCAGTTCGTCTCTGTGCTTCAGTTCGTGTCTGTGTTTCAGTAAGTCTCTGAGTTTCAGAAAGTCTCTATGCTTCAATAAGTCTGTGCTTCATAAAGTTTCTGTGCTTCTGTAAATCTCTGTGCTTCAGTAAATCTCTAAGCTTCAGTAAGTCTCTGTGCTTCAGTAAATCTCTAAGCTTCAGTAAGTCTCTGTGCTTCAGTAAATCTCTAAGCTTCAGTAAGTCTCTGTGCTTCAGTAAATCTCTAAGCTTCAGTAAGTCTCTGTGCTTCAGTAAATCTCTAAGCTTCAGTAAGTCCCTGTGCTTCATTAAGTCTCTGTGCTTCAGTAAGTCGCCGTCAGTTCTCACTTAACAATTCTCTTTACGAGTATCTGACGGAGGGGGATAGACTCACCAAGCGGAGCCTCACCCTGGTGAGTAAGACTCCAGGAGGGCCCGATGGTGGAGTACCTCGGGGGCGGATCATGGTGGTGGTGGTGGTGGTGGTCTGGAGAGGTGCTGGAGGCGTGGTCCTGGACCGGGATGGCCGGGGCTCGTCTGGGAACACCCTCGGTCTCCTCTTGGTCTCCCCCGGTGAGCTTACCTGAGGGGGCCGACATCCTGGGGGAATATGAGTGATCGAGCTGGTGTGTGGGTAGGCACAAAAGAACACGACTCGATCTCACATCAACACACTTGGTAAGTACATGTGCAAACACACTGAATATTGGCAATATGGTTAGCCCTCGACTACCGGTGGGATAAAAGCTCTCTCTCTCTCTCTCTCTCTCTCTCTCTCTCTCCTCGGTCCTCTCCCTCTCCTCTCCCCTCTCTGTCTATCTCTCGCTGGCGCTGTGAAGCACCTCGCGCTCGCTGTGGTATTTGGATACGAGGATCTCTGTTGCTGCCCGAGGCTCACATAGGAATGGCATTGTCCCCTTGGTCCACGGGCCTTTACCAAACCTAATAGAGATTTTCTGTCTGCCCCTGTGTCTCTGGCTCTACCTCCTCTCTCTCTCCATAAACATAATGCATATTCCTTCCATATCTCTAATCTTGACCTATCGTTCAGAACACATCATCGATACCATGCCTAACCCTTCTAGGGTAGTAGGTCCTAGCCCGAGCCTTTTCTCATAAGACTGTCATTCCCATTGCCCCCTTGGGCGGGAGCGAGCCAGAAGGCTTAGCTGTGGCAGCCTGGGTACCAGTGCTCAAAATGAGAGGGACTTGTCCCTCATGGCCTTCTAGTCTAGACAGCGTTCCTGGCTGGACCACCGGCCTCCTCTTGCAAAGGTCCGGCCTCTGAGAAACCAGAGCAATTTCCTATAATATAATCGTCGAACTATAGAAAAATAAATACCACACCAACAATCACCACCACAACAACAATAACAACCACCACCACAACAACGATACCAACAGCAACAACAATCACAACAGCAACAACAACAACAACAGCAACACCATAACAAGCGCACTTGTCCACCTCAGTGCGTTCCATACCTCAAAATAAAATTAATATCGGCGTAATGCGTTTAAAATGGATCCATTGCTTCGTAATTTCATTTCCTCGATGACAATATTCAACTGGACAGAATCCTGCACTAAATATAGATGCAGTGAGGCGCTATACAAATCATATACACCGAGAGGTGTATGTATCTCGGTGTATATACCCTGAGAGTTACTTTTAACCCTCTGTATTAGGGCTTAAACTT